GCCTTCTTTTTTTTATTTTTCAGCTTACGACTTGGTCTTTTCTTCCTTTTCCATGTCTCAGATGATGTACTGCTAGATGAAGATGATGCTGATGATTCACGGTGATCTTGGTTTGGAGATTCATCGATTGCTGATTCACATCCAGATTCTGATGAGCTGCTACTATATGGTACAAGTTTTTTTGTGGTAATGCGCTCATTATTCTGTGTCAGATCCTCTGGTACCTCTAGTTGCTCACATTCCAGAAAAGCAGGGTCAGGAATTTCTTCAAGATAGATAGCGCTTTCGGTCATGATTTCATGTTCGGTGGTCGTATATTCGATGGATGTATTTTCAGTTATGTTTCCTGAGCTGCTTTGAAATATGATGTCGAAGTTTAATGCCTCGTTGATCATATTGTCTTCCAGGTAACTTTGATCAGTTTCATCTTCCAGCGCCATGCTCACAATTCGTTTTCCGCGGCTAGACATTCTGAAAAAAACACTTGCGTAAGCGCCACATGTGAATGAAATTTTAAAGTTGATTTGCAAATTAAATAAACCGTTTTTATAAAATCCAGCAATCACTTTATTTCAAGTATTACTCATATTCATGCTATTTGATTCAATATAACTAAATACCTTCATCAGTATCAAGCAAAGTGAAAATAAAGGTTACATAGCGTTATGACGCTTACGCGTTTGTACTTGAACAGACTGAATGCGTAAGCGCCACATCTTTGTGATCATTATTTACAGTTACAGAATCATACTAAATGCTTTAGGATGTTGCAACAACCACTAGATACCCTATATAAACCAAAATATTCCGATAAACCTTATATAACTTACCTGTATCAGGGCTGGAGGTTGAGAGCACGTGCTGCATAAGCGCCAACTTGACTGAGTATTTTGAGGTTATGGCTGGTGCATTGTCGCTTACACATACTTAATTGCGAATATCTTGGTAACGGCTGATCTGTCGTTTACGAGACCACCGGCAATCGACGCGGCGTGTTTTCTTCTATGAGTAAACATGAAAATCCCAATTTCCGAATTTTGGCGCATACGTCGTTTTGTCAGATCGTCATCGAAGTCATCTTGCAATATGGCGGCCACCCCTTCCTCTTCTCCTCGTCGGCGTTGCCACGTTGTGGCTGTTTTACGTGATCTGGCGGAAAGGAGCTCAACAGGGTGATTGACAAGATTTGTTGGCGTTAAAGCTGTGCTAGCGCAATCTGCAGGGTTCTCGAGAGACGGTATATGATACCACGGTACATTTGAAATAACTTCTTGTATATGGCTGACACGATTTACTACAAAGCTCTTCCATTTATGTGGAGGGGATGTGATCCAATGTAATGCAACCTGTGAATCACAAAATGCAAAAATATCATCTATGACGACTAAGGAAGAATAGTTACGAATTACTAAATCTAACGAATCTGCTAAAAGGGTGGCCCCTACTAGCTCTAGACGAGGGATTGATTTTGTATGAAGGGGAGCTACTCTTGATTTGTCGACAACTAAGGCTGACTTTATGACGTTTTTTGGCAGTTCGACACGAAGAAATACAAAACAAGCGTAACCAAGCTCTGAGGCGTCACAAAAACCGAATAGTTGACATCGCTGAAGGTTACTTGAAAATATATATCTAGGGATGTAAATATTCGAACGAGTAGTTAATTGATTACAAAATTGATTCCAAAGGTTTACAATTGAATCTGGAGGGATTTCGTCCGAATCTATATTGCATAACCAAAGCCTTTTCATTATTACTTTAGCGAAAAATGATACTGGTGTTTCGTTAGAAGGAGAACATAAATAAGCGAAGGTATCGGACGAAGGATGCCAATGTAGTCCCAAAACTTTAATGGAAGTTGAGTCGTCGTTCTGAAACCTCACGGGAATTTTACAATCTGATGAATCAAAGTGCGAAATCAGTTTAGGATTATTTGACGCCCATTTTCTAAGTTCGAAACCTCCTAACTTGAGTAGGGAGATGAGGTCTTGCTGCAGAATCAAAGCACTCTCTAAGGACGTAGATTCGCAGCAGATACCATCCATATAAACGTTATTCAACAAAACTTTCGAAGCATCAGGGAATTTTTTACTTCCTCGAATTGCTAATACTCTAAGGGTTCTGATCGCTAAATAGGGACTTGAACTTACTCCAACAGTAACGGTGTTCAATCGATAGTCCTGGATTGGTTCGGTGGGATGAAAGCGCCAAAGTAATTTTTGACAGTCTCTGTGAATGGGATTGACCTTAATTTGCAAATAATGTTGTTTGATGTCCGTTAAGCATACGACAGTGTAGAATCGGAATTTTAAAAATATTTCCCAAATATCGTTTTGTAATTTGGGACCTATCAAAAGAGTGTCAATCAAGCTGATACCTCTTGAGCCCTTAACAGACGGATTAAAAACGACATGCAATTTCGTAGTGGATTTATCGAGGCAAAGTACTCCACGATGTGGTAAATAGCAACACAACTCTGGTCTCGAATGAGATTGAGGGACCAAAGTCATGTGACCATTATTGATATAATCTCTTATAAAACCTGATTATAGCTTGGATAAATAAGGGTTTTTTAAAAGTCGAGATTCAAGCGAAAGAAAATAACGATAGGCTATTGAATAAGTATCTCCTAGATTGGGAGGGTTTGAATGACGAACGGGTAGATTGACTATAAAACGACCTGAAGCATCTCGGGTTGTGGTGTTTTTGTAAATTTTTTCACATCTGATCGCATCAGGTGACAGAAATGTTTTTGGTTTGACTGCTTCTAATTCCCAAAACTTGCTAATGGTTGATTCAAGAGAATGTTCACAAGACACGAAGTAAGAATTAATTGGCGGTTGAGTACCTTGATTTGTGGCACCTACAAGTGCCCAACCGAAGATAGTTTCAAAGGCCAAAGGTTCTCTGGAGGTCCTGGGCTTCTTCCTGGTTTGACGATTTCGGCGAGGAGTTCTGCACCTAATAAAAGGTCAATAGGACCAGGAATATGAAATTGATAATCTGCAAGCTTCAGATTTGAAATATAACTCCATGACGAAGAATCAACTGAAGCTTGAGCCATGGGAGAACTAAGTTTTGATAGAACCAAGACTGGAATTGTGAAAGTAGGTTGAGACTGATCTCTGGGTTTTATAGAGCAAGTAGACATGCCTTTAGTAGCGGACGATGATTGATTTATTCCAAAGACAGAGATCGAGTGCTGGTTTCTTCATATGCCCAATCGGTTGAGACAGGACTCGCTTATAATGTCTGATTGACTTCCGCTATCTAGGATTGCTCGAACTGTTTGGTAATTACCTCGAGCGTCAAGGACATCTAGTTTGAGGGTGGATAAAAGCACAGTTCTTCTTGGTGTCGAAGCAGACAGTGATGTGCAAAGGTTGGTTAATGGATTAAGTTGTGATGGATTAGAATAATCTTGAATCGGGTTTGAAGCGATTTGATTATGACTTGACGAACTTTGGATTAAACTTGGGTTATTTTGACTATAGTCGCAATTGGGATGACAAAGATTTGAATTTAACTGATTTTAATTTGAATGTGCTAACATTAGGTTCGAAGTGATTTGACTTGGATTGGAATCGACAGAATTATGACTTTGGCTTGGATTTTGATTGGAATTTTGATTTGGATGATTGTGACAGATGCAACAAAGTGTGGTGGCGACAACGACCGATTTTGCAATTGAATGTGCTTGCGCAATTTCATAAAAGATGACTAAAACGCAAACGGTTTACGCATGTGTTGCTTCACATACCCAAAGCGGTCCTGATTTTGCAATGAACGTGGCACCTTGCGACAAGGGATGAAATACCTGTAGATTGTTGCAGAGTATGCACTTGTTTGAATTTTGATTTTGAGATGAACGGTTTGTGCTGGGATTGCTCGATTGTGGACTCGCTTTTATATAGAAATTGTACGGCGGTTTTGATCTGTATGAGCTATTGAGATTTTTATTGCTTCTGTTATTATTAGAATTTGGATGATTCATTTTCGGTTTTTGCCGTCCGGTTCTGGGGTGCGTTGGGGAGTTTTGACGAGTTAACTGTATAGTTTCGAGAGCCCTGCAATGGTTTGTAAGGAATTCCATTAGATTTTTATATGTCGGGATTTTGGTAGTACTATACCTGATCTCAAAAGCTGTTCTAGTAGGGTGATCCAATTTTGATAAAAGGATATAAAATAAACAAAAGCTGTAAAACTGGAAATCCGAGATTTTCGAGTGCAGCGACATTTTCTGAAAATGCATCAGTTAATAATCTAAGATCTTTAGGTGAATTATTGGATTTTAAAGGATTTGCACTGTAAATCGAGTCCCAGTAGGTACCGGCCAAAAGTCGAACATTTTGATACCTGTTTGTTAGTGTCTTCCAGGCGATTTCGTAATTTGACGCTTTTAGTTTGATTGAGCTCAAAATGTTCAATGGTTCACCCTCTAAGAAACGGAGCAAATATTGGAATCTTTTAATATCGGAGTCATTTGGATTGTTATGAATCAGTGATAAATAAACATCGCAAAAGGTAGGCCAATGTTTCAGGTTAACACTGAATGTAGGCACTTTCAAAGGGCCTAAATCATCGCTACGTGATAGAACATCATGAATTATTGGAGTGAGACAGAGCTGTTGATTGGGAGCGGGAAATAAACTACTAAACATTGCCTTCGTTTTATGGAAAAACGAATCGGTATCTTTACGAATGACATCGTGTGCCTCAAATTCGGTATCGTCAGTATCATCATCAAGAAGGCCGATGACTTCATTATGTATAGCCTTGAACTGTTCATAATGATCATCTAGTGATTCAAGATACGACTTGAATGTTAATTTGAGAGTATCGCCAGTTTTCGTTTTTATTCCCCGATTGTACGCCTCTGTAATACGTGAGATTGATATTTTGCGTTGATTAACCAGCCTTTTCAAAGACATTATTCCGAATATTCAGAGTAACAGTGATTGTTTATTTTGATTGAAAATTGATAAAAATGATTTGCTTACTATACAAATATCCTGGACCGCGTTTACTAAAAAGTGTACAGGTTCACAAAAGGCACTAAGAACACAGCTCGGTTTCACATTTGAATATTTGTCTGGATGTTCAACTACAATCTCCTCGAATTTTACCAGCTTACAACATAATTTTCCTTTTTATTCGGACGTGTTTTTGCTTACACTCTTTTTTGGGTTATTTACATGAAATAATGGTTCTACTACTGAGCAACGAATTGAAAGGAAGCAAAACTGTGAGAGGGAACATACAAAATGGCGACAATAATTACTTAATCCTTAATTATCATACAGAAGCAATTTCAGATGCTACAAACTTTTTAAAGATTTACGAAAATCTAGACTCTAGAGAATGATGTAAGAAATATAATAGGTTCAGAGCGAATTAAGCAAGTATCAGATAATCGGCAAAGATTGAATCCTATAATAGAATCTATAGTTTTTTAGGACGCCAAAATATACCACTCAGAGGGCATAGAGATAGAGGACGACTTTCTTCTAATGACAGCACGAATGACGAGAATGTCCTTATAATAATAAAGGGAATTTTAGAGAACTAATACGGTTTACATTCGAGAGCGGCGACAATGTATTGAAAAAAAACATAGAGAACACAAAAGCGCATGCTACGTACATAAGCAGCCGCATCCAGAATGAAATTATAGAATGTTGTGGCGAAGAAATCTTGGATATATTTTTAAGTCGCGTCAGGCAAAGTCAGTATTACAGTATTATATTTGACGAAACTACAGACATTAGCCATAAATCACAAATGTCAATCGTATTGCGGTATCGTTATCAAAAACATATTTACGAGGACTTCATGAGATTTGTGGATTGCTACTCAAATTTTGAGGAAGATACAATGAGCCCAAACTCACAGGTCAAATTGTTGCTCAAACAGTCAAGCATTTCATTAAAACCAATAACTTAGACTCAAAACTATGTGCGGGCATTGATACTGATACGTGTAACCTAATGTTAGGTGAACAAAAAGGGGGTTTTAATGGAATTGAAAATATGTTTGCCAAATGCTCTAAAAAGCCCATACGCAAATCATGCCTTGAATCTTTCGATTTCAAAAAGCAGCAGTGTCCAAGCAGTAAGCAATACTGTAGGTATAATAAAGGAAGTAATTGCGTTCTGCAAAGCATATGCTAAAAGAATTAATAATAATCATAAATGGTTTTTATTCATCATTTATCATATAAATAACTTGAGGAAAAAAAAATTAAAGATAAAATGATGAAAGGCGTAGCTGAGCCAAAGCTGCTTTTCAACTAAACCCACAAAAAATAACACTCATACAATAATATAATATAATAATATGCAATACAAAACAGAACATACGAGAGCATGGCCAATGCAGTTTTTATGAGAGCACAATTCATGCAAAAAAGAACAAGACGACTTAAAAAGAAACATACTGGGACATTATCCTTTAAAACGTAGTGAGGTTTGCTTATACCTTAGGCGTTTGGTCGTGCATAGCGTTGCCAGGTCGCCAGACCTAATAGCCGGACAGACCAGCCAGCTTGGCCGGACATTTGGTTAAAAAAGCCGGACACCCTATTTTATTGAGGATTTTGTCTTAGTATTAATAGGTACGACAAAAATTTTTTATGTAAAATCAAGTCTTTTTGATTATTATCATAAATCTTGTTAATTTCTAGTGAAATAATAAATAAAATCGAATGCCAAATCAGTCTTAGATAGGTACTTTATTATTAATCAGTCAAATAGTCATCAGTCAAAATTAAATTCTAGATACTTACATACATTTATTCACATATTTGAATTTTTCTTAAATAATAAGAAAGGCGCAAATTATACTTTTTTAACTAAAAAAATCAATAACTTCTCTTTAAGTTAAAATATAAAACAAACAAAAACTTTTTCTCTTTGAGTTACACAATAAAATTAAATTCTAGATAATTAAGCATTTATGAACAAATAACACATTTTTAACTAAAAAAAATAAATAACTTCTTTTTAAGTTAAACTATAAAACAAAAAAAAAACATTTTCTCTTTGAGTTACACAATAAAAATAATAATTAATATTTTTGGTTTGTCGAAACCTGCTTTAAGAGCTCAGTTTCTTTCAAAATGTAGTTGTAAAAATCCTTACATGTCAAATGTTTTAAATTAAATTCTACAACCAACATTTTGGCAACAGTATCAACATGTAATCTGTTGCGTTCTTTCGTCCATTGCTGACCTATCAAGGAAAAAACTCTTTCAACGTTTGCGTTGGGATAGCAAAGTAATACTGACAAATAAATAATCATCGATTTAAAATAGGCTACCCATTTCTTATGTGCTAATAGCTTCTTGAAATCAACGTTCTCTTTGTTAGTATTCAGAAAACTTTTAATTTTAACGTTGTTTTGCGATAGGATACTTATAGTATCGGAAACTTGATTCCATTCAAATGGAAGTCTCTGTATCTTTGATGCGATTTTGATAAATGGCCATGAAAGAATGAACAGCCCACAAATAGCCTTCGTTAACCCTAGATTACGGGACTTGTTTCAAAATACTTTAATACGGGACTATCGTAAAATATACGAAGATAATATAAAACTTGCATTGTACAATAAAATTCTTATGAAAAAACTCATGAAAAATAAAAGATATATTTCTAAGGACTTTACAATGAAATGCAAGAACAAAATATCAATAAAAAGTCAATATATATTATTTGACACTACATTCCTTGCATACATTTCCTCGATGCTCACCACAGATCGGATGTCCACACTGTCCACAATACGTCGTTGTCATCCGTCTCTTTTGAGAAGGGCAAAAAAGCACGTTTTACGCTTTTTTTCTAGAGGGATTTCAGATGTTGTATCTTTTCGAATATTGAGAAGAAGGGCAATATCTTGACTTATATTTCGACGCAACGTAGGAGTCGATAATCTATGCCTCATCCATGGCTCAGCAAGGCGACGACTTAAATCTATCATGTGCTGGTAACGTGAAAGGGGTTTCTCTCCTCTTGATAAAGCATTAAAAGTATAAATCACAAAGGAGTTGATGCTGGCTATATTCACCATACCATATAGCACACACAGGGGCCATCTTCTAGTTTTCCTGCTGCAGCTCATGTTGGAACACATTTGGTCGAATGTGTCGACACCCCCTTTAGTTTCATTGTAGTTCTGAACAATTGCTGGTTTTCCTGTTTGTTTTGAAATTTCAGCACCCTCATGCATTGTAGACAATAGCAGTACTAATTTCTGCTTCCTAGGCACATACGAAAGTAATACTTTTTCTTGATCAAAACAGAACATTGATGTATTTACGTTTCGCTGCCTTATGTCAAGCAGTTCGGGAGGAATTTCCCTTTTATTTTTTCTTAGTGTTCCAATTATTGTCAGTTTGTAAGGATCTTGGAGTAGTTCATCTGCCAAACTGACGGACGTGAACCAATTGTCCATGGTAATATTCCTGTTACTTCCATGGACAGATTTTGTAAGCTCCTTTACAAAGTAGGTAGCAAGCGGCAAACCATTCGTTCTGGTACTTTTTCCTATATATGGACTAGCATCAACCATATAGCATGTTGAGTTGTCACATAGCATGAAAATTTTTATACCATACTTTGAAGGTTTATTCGGTATGTACATGCGGAATGGACATCGTCCACGAAATCCCAAAAGCTGTTCGTCTATAGTGAGGTAAGAAGATGGTGTATATGATGATCTGCAAGTTTCAATGAAAATATCCCATAACTCACGGATATGGGTGAAAGGATCATTAATTTTTCTTTCCTGTCTTGTTTCTCTTGAATCAAATCTGAGACAGTTCAGTAAGAACATAAATCTGTCACAGTTCATGCAGGCTCTATAGAAGGAACCAGAAATCGTCGTATCAAACATATGTCTGGCAGATAGATGGTTGTCTTTCTTGGCAGCCGAGAGTATCAAAATTGCAAACAGCGCCTGTAGTTCTTCTTTCGTGGTAGGTGACACATTGTTGTTACCCGTGTAATTTTACCTTTGTCGTACAATTTCTTCATTAGTGTGTAGTAATATTATATCAAGAATAGGATCAGAGAAGAAATGTAAAAAATATTCTTCCAGTGTCACATACTCCTTCGCTTCACCTTTCGGGCCTGCCACAAAATGGATGAGGTTTCTTGAAGCAGTTCTTTTAGTTCTGCTGGGCTGTGTTGATGTCCATCTCTGACCATTCTTTCCTTTCAAACTCAAAATATTGGGTTTAACTAGAAAGTGATTTGTTTCACAAGGTTCAAGTTGAGGTTGATGTACGGGATCGTCGGAGTTCACATGGCCGTCATCATTCTTTTTCTCTGCCGAAGTAGTCGTTTCTTGTTCATTTATAGGAACATTCTCGTCCAAATAGAATTCATCATTTGAATCATCTGATCCCTTCATCGATTCTACTTCAATATTATCTTCTTCCCAATCACTGCCACTATCCTCAAATGGATCTGGATCACTGTCTCCTCCCTCCATAATTTTTCTCACTTCTTCTTCCAATTCTGCCTGAGATAAGGACCGTTTTGAAGTCATTTCGCTGGAAAGACATGTACTTAGAACGCTATAAGTATGAAAAATAGAAAACACCTTACCTCACAAATAAATGTCAGCAAAACCGCTTTTCAAAGAATAGAATAAAAATCAGCTTGCGCGAAAATAGCAAACAGTGACACGGGACTATCGTAAAATTTACGACGGAAGTGCAAAATCTCCGTTACGCTTGACAAATACACGATGTTACGTACACCGAAGTCTAGCCAAAAACTAAATAGGAAGGTGGAAGGTATCGAGAGTCTCATTCCGATACGCTAACCGAAAATGAACGAAAACCCACGACGAATATTGTCGATCGTAAATTTTACGAATGTCCCGTACTCTAGGGTTAAGGTCGTTTTCGAAAAATTCTCTCAAAGTTCTGGCTGTATTATTCTTTTCCGTTTTTAGGAAATACGACTTAAGAGGTTCAAACATTTGTAAAATCCTTTCTATAGCTGGAAAAAGAATCAGCCAGCGCGTCTTTGAATGATAAAGTATTGTTTAAAATGAATGTCTAATTCTGAGCTACGGGCGACGGGCGGCA